TTTATGCTCAGAAATGGCAGCAGTCGAACCTCACCCCCCATATGGGGAGGCTTAAACTTTGAGAAGTCTGGTTGCTAATAGGAAAGGGTACTACCGACAGGTCACATAGCAAGAGATGTATCTTCCTCCTCCTGGCAGTCACTCATTATGACTCTTTCTTTCAAATGGATTTCTGAGGTGCTTTCTGAGAGCAAACCTCAGCTTTAAGAAAGATAGTGTGAGCCCATCCTGGTCTCCAGGATCTGCCCACTGACAGCAGGAAGACTCTGGTGTGTTCACTCTGTCCCCACCACCCTGAGGTGATTCTGCCCTAAACTAATCTCTCCCAGTTGATAGTGATTGGAAAGTTTCTGTAGAAAGAAAAAAAAGAAAAAGAAAAAGAAAAAAAAAGCACAGCTGTTTTCCCTGCTGCCTCTGGAGGTTTAGCATGAAAACCCATATGTTTGTGTATTTATTTATTTACTGCCCTTTTCTAGCACAAAAATCATTTATTTGTAAAAAGCAAGTATGTACTTTATCTTTGTTTAAACTAAGCTAAAAAGGATCATTAAGTCAATTAAAGCAAAAAAATACAATTGAACGAAGTTACATCAGTAAAATTTTCATCTTCACACTCTTCCCTTGGAAATGGCTTGATAAAAACACAGGCAAAGCATTGTCTCTCTGTATTATTTTAACTTGGTGTGCTTGAGTTCATAACAAAAATTTATATCATTAAAAGTGGTTTTCATGTGTAAAACTGTATAGAAATTATCAACTTTCTAAAAATAAACTTGTACTAATTTTATATATTCATGTAATTAGATGGAATTTTTACTGTAAATTTCAGGAAAGCCATTTCTTTACTATTATCATCAGGTACACATGGCATTTTGGAAGACTGTTCATTGTTGAGTAACCTAGAGTTTGATTTTTATAAGCATCCTTGTACCACTAAAAAAAATGTTAATAAACCATGGGATAAGGCTGCTGGCTCAAGATCAGAAGGGAATTCATACACATTAATAGACACACAGTTGGTAAAGAACCTTAAGGACCCTATTCAAGAATTGTTGTATAAGATGGTTGGGTGACATGATGAGACAAGATATGCTATGATAGCCTTTCACCCAGTGGTAGATGCTTCTAGACAGAGCCTCCTGTTAAACATTAAGTCCTTTCTATCATGGATTTTATCCTGGAGAGCATGGCTTTGCTGAATCCCCTCCACCCCAGGTCACCAAAGACCTTCCCCAACTGGCTGCCATTGAAAACAGTTTGAAATTGGCCCTAAGGAGACCTCTGCTTTTCCAGAAGATCATATACAGAAGGATCTCACTCTTGCCCTTCTGACAGTCTGTGCCTAAAGTTTTTAAAGAGGGAGAAATCTTGTCATGAGTGTAACTACACAGAAAATGTACTAGGACTAGGACACTTCCAGGTGTAATTCTGCCTTGTGGTGAAAGCATGCTCCTAAATTCCAGTATGGGTCTGGAATAGACACCCAGGAATGCTCCTACCTACCTCTAGCTGTTTCAGTGTGATTACAAAGACCCTGTGGGGAAAACAGTTGCTCAGTTTGCAGATGTTCCTCGCCCCTGAGGTTTTCAATGCCTCTTGTTTGTCAATGGGTCCTTTGGACCCCTCTTGACTCCTTCTCTCCAGACTGCTTTTGTCCTTGTGCCCTTGGGGTATTTCACCTAGTCTTTAGAGAACCACTCTTGGATCTTCAGGAACAGTCCTCCTGAAAGTGTTGTGCTGGGGGAACAGAAGAGGGGGTATTAGTGGCAACCACCAGCCCCTGCTTTTGTTTCCCACCACTGTCTTTGTTGCCTTAAAAATTAAAACTTTATTCTGTGTACTTTAACTTTTTTTTTTGTCTCTTTGGTGTGTCATTTACTTTTTCTTGGAGAAAGTCAAGTGAGGCCCAAAGCCCCTAGCATCTTGTTGCAGGAGTGTGTGAGATGCAGCTGCTGATCTGGAGCAGCCTCAGGCTTTGTTGTTGTTTAGATGGGGGAATGTTTTCTGTCCAAATGGGTTGCAAAATCGTCCAAGCTTAATGATAACTTTTGAAATAAAACTCACTCTAGTTTAGGGCAAACAAGTAGCCACAGAGAACAGGTTCCAAACAATGTCTGTGTGTCCCATTTGACTGTGTCACTTCACTTTTCTGTTCATTTAGCTCTGTCTACATGTCCAGAGGGCAATATGTTTTGATCCTTGGGACAAAACTCACTCTGCAGTTACTGTGGTATCAGGTACCAATTACTTAGGATATGATTTCTCTCCTATGTTAGATAATGCTTTGCAAAGGCTAGAATTTGGGCATTGTCAGTAGACTCAAGGTAACAGTTCTGTGACCTAAAGGAAACCACATAACCTCTCTGAATTCCTAGGTGTTTCATTCACAAAATGGAAATAGTCATGGTTCTCCTCTAATGAGCTTGTTGTGAGATACTTCATAGAAAGATGATGGCACCAGACTTGGATAAAATAGATAGATGGATGGATGGATAGATAGATAGATATAGAGAGATATAGAGAGATTGGTGGATAGATAAACAAATAAGGAAAGAAAGAGCATTCAACACAGTAGCTAATGTTTTATGGTGACATTTTAATGTTCTATTTAATGTTCCCTTTTTCTAGGGAGTGGCCCCAGCCAAATTATTTTGAGGTAGATCAATAATCAGCATAGTGTGAAACAGTAAATCTGGGCTTTGTTCCTAGAAAAAAAAAAAAAAAAGGAATGGTATGGTTGCCCCATTTCTTCCTTTTTTCCGTTTTTCTTTTTTTTAACATTTTTGTAGCCAACCATTCCTTCCATTTGATTAAGAACTAGGAGCCTTATACTCAGGTTGGAGACAGGTAAGAATCTCAAAAATCACTTAGCAAGTTCAGCTGATTCAACAAGGGATGTTTCAGAGAATTAACAGCTATTTCAGCCTCCAAAAGGTGTACATTGCCTACTCTGTATTTCCAGAACTCCAGGCTTGCTGTGATAATTTGTAGAGGACTTTTCCTATAATTTACTTTATTTAAAAGAGATTTTCAATTTCCCTCCCTAAAGAGGAGGTTGCAACTTATCCCTTAAAGGAGAAAATGTGTTGTGTGCCGTGACCCTACCTAGGCAGTTAGCCTCCTGTGTTGAGATTTTCTTTGAATTCTTGACTTCTGTAACAGTCACAGTAGATACATTGATGGGAAGGACAGAATGGAGTCTTCTAAGGACTAAGCTAATAGAAATGCTGTTGGAAGATTGGAGATAGATCTTTCCCTTGTCATTAGTATTGGGTAGTGCATTGTTCTCCTTTGTGAAGGCCACTTATTCTGTCTTGCAGATACTTCTTACCTCCCAGAGTAACAGACCACAGGAAATGGCTGTTTCTATGCTTCCAGTTGGAAGATGGCAATGTTGGCTTTTTTCTTAGACAGATAGTATTCTGTGTTATTTCAGTGACTTGTCTCCATATGTATCTTGGAGATTGCCCCTTTGCTTTTGTCCTCTTGTCGTATGTATCTGTACGAATTCATGTGTACTTATGATTGTCGCTTTTTCCTTCTTTGTGAATTGGGATTCAGAGATTTTGTTGCCATTGTATTTTTCTGTTGTTGACTGATGTAGCTATTTGTGGGAGGCCCTGGGTAATTGGCCTTTATATTCTGTCTTTAAAGGAAGTGATATGTGCCTCTCTGTGCCAATGCCAGGAGAAGTCAGTATGATTTGGTGTGATTAGGGTTTGGGGGATTGTTGCCATTGTTTTACTTTTTCTATTGAAGAAGTGCCTTAGGCAGAAACATTAGGGGACCCAAGAATGGCAATGAAAATGGGTTTTTACAAAAGAAGCTAAATGTAGTCCTTCCGTCCTTTCTAGGAATGACCCTGCCCTAAAGTACCACTAGCTGATAGTGGAGTTCAGAACATAAATGGGTCCTCAATAGTATCACCAAGAACTTATTGGCAAGCAGGTGCAAAAGGACTATGCATGATACCCAGCAGGCCTGGTATTCTTCATGTCAAAGTAGAAGAGCTTTAAAAGACTCACCTGTTTGAGTCCCTGGCTGACTGATGGTAGCCTGAATCCTTACTCCTTGGCTAACATTAAGGCCTCTTCTACAAAAGGTGCTTTAGAAATCTACTCCTTTGTCAATATACCCTTGAATGTGGAAAACATCCTTTAAAACCGTGACACTAAAGTGTGGTCCATATGCTTGCAGCGTCTCTTACCTAAGAGCTTAATGGAAATACAGGCTCACAGGCCCCTCCCAGAACAACTGATGTGCAGGCCAGAGTCTGGGAACTGCTGCACTGGCACAGGGCTTATTTTGAATGAGGATGAGATAGAGAGGAGAGAACAGGCAGTAGGCAGCCATTTCTCCTGAACTTCTTTATCGTTAATTACTACAGTGGCCTAGTGCCACCCATACCTTTGTCTCTAGAGTTCTGGGCAAAATAGTAGGGTGTGCTTTGCAAAAATGTCATCATTGATGTTGTGTTTCAGAGTCTTTAATTAAGAGACCGAAATCTGTATATTGAGATTTGTAAATCATCTAAATTGTAGAGTAATGTCTTCAAAAGCCGCTTAAAGGATTGACATTAAAGCTCGCTTTCTTAGTTAAGAAATGCAATGATTTCTTCAACCCCTCAGTCATTAGCCCTCTACTAACTATAGTGCTGACTTCTTTCCCCCTTAAAGTCTGTGAATTCCAAAGAAGTGTTTCACTATTTCCTCCCTGAGTAGCTACCTAGAAGCTATGCTCATACATTGGATTAAAAGCATAGCAATTGCAAAGTTAATGTGATCATACGGAAAAGGGAAAATGAGACAACATTTCACTTTCGAGATGACATATTTTTATTTCTTTTATAGTGTGGAGCATTAAACCCAGGGCCAAGGAAAGGAGGCAGACACTATACCTCTAACCCTGACATTTTTACTTTCTGGTTGCAAACTTTTATGTAGTTTGACTCACACTGTGCATTGAGGTTTTAAATCTCTCATAAGGAAGTAAATTACCATTGGCTCTCTTACTGAATGCTTTCTCTTTTTCTCTCCACTCTAATCAAACTAGAAGCCGTAGAAGATCTACCAGAAATGAGTGGGAAAACGTCCCGTCGCTTCTTCTTCAACTTAAGTTCTGTCCCCACTGAAGAGTTCATCACGTCTGCAGAACTGCAGATTTTTCGGGAACAGATACAGGAAACTTTGGGAAACAGTAGTTTCCAGCACCGAATTAATATTTATGAAATTATAAAGCCTGCAGCAGCCAGCTTGAAATTTCCTGTGACCAGACTATTGGACACCAGGTTAGTGAATCAGAACACAAGTCAGTGGGAGAGCTTTGATGTCACCCCAGCAGTGATGCGATGGACTGCACAGGGACACACCAACCACGGGTTTGTGGTGGAAGTGGCCCATTTAGAGGAGAAGCCAGGTGTCTCCAAGAGACATGTGAGGATTAGCAGGTCTTTGCACCAAGATGAACACAGCTGGTCACAGATAAGGCCATTGCTAGTGACTTTTGGCCACGATGGAAAAGGACATCCACTCCATAGAAGAGAAAAGCGTCAAGCCAAACACAAACAGCGGAAGCGCCTCAAGTCCAGCTGCAGGAGACACCCTTTGTATGTGGACTTCAGCGATGTGGGGTGGAATGACTGGATTGTGGCCCCACCAGGCTATCATGCCTTTTACTGCCATGGGGAATGTCCTTTTCCCCTGGCTGATCACCTGAACTCCACTAACCATGCCATAGTGCAGACGCTGGTAAACTCTGTGAATTCCAAGATCCCGAAGGCATGTTGTGTTCCCACAGAGCTCAGCGCAATCTCCATGTTGTACCTAGATGAGAATGAAAAGGTCGTGCTAAAAAACTATCAGGACATGGTTGTGGAGGGTTGTGGGTGTCGTTAGCACAGCAAAAATAAATAAATAAATAAATATATATTTTAGAAAAAGAATAAACCCTACTCTCCCCCCCTATAAACCAGCTGACACTTTAATATTTCCCAATGAAGACTTTATTTATGGAATGGAATGGAAAAAAACACAGCTATTTTGAAAATATATTTATATCTACGAAAAGAAGTTGGGAAAACAAATATTTTAATCAGAGAGTTATTCCTTAAAGATTTAAAATGTATTTAGTTGTACATTTTATATGGGTTCAACTCCAGCACATGAAGTATAATGGTCAGAGTTATTTTGTATTTATTTACTATTATAACCACTTTTTAGGAAAAAATAGTTAATTTGTATTTATATGTAATCAAAAGAAATATTGGGTTTGTATATAATTTTCCAAAAAATTGTAGTTGTTTTTCAGTTGTGTGTATTTAAGATGCGAAGTCTACATGGAAGGTTACTGGGCAAAGTGCTTGCACATTTGCTTTTTGTTTTTTGCAGCACTACTGTTAAGTTCACAAGTTCAAGTCCAAAAAAAAAAAAAAAGTGGATAATCCACTCTGCTGACTTTCAAGATTATTATATTATTCAATTCTCAGGAATGTTGCAGAGTGGTTGTCCAATCCGTGAGAACTTTCATTCTTATTAGGGGGGAATATTTGGATAAGAACCAGACATTACTGCTCTGATAGAAAAGCTCTTCTTGCAGAAAGAATAAAGCAGGACCAGTGGAAATAATTAGGAAAACTGTGACCATGTCGGGAAATGATAATGGTGTCTTGTTCTTTCCTAAACCTATGATCCCTTCCAGGGGGCTGATCTGGCCAAAGTACTAAATAAAATATAATATTTCTTCTTTATTAACACTGTGGTCATATATATGTACAGTTGATTATCTTGTGGCCCTCATAAAGAAGTGGAAATTGATTTGTATTTTGTGTTTACCCCATTAGCAAGCTCTTTATTCTCCAAAGCACACAATTTTCCACATTTGCCAGGCACACAGCAACATTGAGCATGTCGTGTTTTCTTCTGCCTACACCCTGTTCTCTGACCTATCAGCTTACTTTTCTTTCCAGAGATGTGTGTTTGAACACATTTCTCCAAATGTTAAACCTGTTTCCGATAATAAATATCAAAAACTCTGGCATTTCATCCTATAAAATATAACCCATGAGAGCAAATAGTGCATTTCTAAGTGTTCACAGTGTCTACCCGAGTTTGCATTTTCATTTCTGAAGTGACTGATTTAAACGTTGGGGGGTGGTGACTTAAATGGTTGGAGAATTCCAAGCAAGCCCCATTTGTACCAAAGGACTTGCCGGTGAGTTAGTGGTTTTCAGAGGATCAGGAAAAATAGTGAGGGAAAGCCAATGCCTAAAACAAAGCAAAGCTTGCAGATCCCAAGGTAAAGTTCCAGGGATGATATACCATACAACAGAGGCCACAGTGCCAAAAAAAATTAGAGAGAGTGTCTGTGATCAGCTTCTGCAAAGACATCTGCCAATTGGCTAGCTGCCCAAACCCAGTGAAGTCAAATGAACCCTGAGCAACAGCAGAGCTTCCGTGCTCAGGTTGGAAGAGAAATCTAGGCAGGGCTTTGCGGCTGTTTGTAGACTGGGGAATCCACAGTGCTTGTTCACTGGCAGCGTTTCAAGTCGGTTTCTAGAATGTGTGTCCTCCTGTAGTCCTTCATGGCTGAAGCCTAGTTCTTGCCTCCATTCCCAACCCCTGCCTTAGAACGGAATCGGAGAGCAGTGTACTCACAATGGGAAGGGCTGTTTTAATTAAACCCTTCTCAGGTATTAGCATTGGATGACCTTGAGCACACTAACCTTCAGAGGTTTTGAGGTTCTGGAGATCTTGGTTTGAATGAATAATCTGGTCATCTTTTAAAGCATTCTTCCTTACCCCTTTTGCTGTCCCTTTTGCACTGGTAGAAACCATTAGACCAAGTATGGCTTGTCAAGTCCTCCTTGTCCTTCAATCATTCTTTGCTGTTTCTTGCCATGGGTACTGTTAACAAACTACAGTCTTAGCATCTTAAAAAGAATGAACCATGTTTTTTCATGTGTCTCCAAATTCTTGAGATAGGAGTGGGAGTATTTGGCAAGGATTCTATCTTCTGACAGGTCCATCCTTTGCATTGGTTCTGATTTTCTTTTCTTTTACTTTTTGTTTTTTCCAAGACAGGGTTTCTCTGTGTAATGGCCCTGGCTGTCCTGGAACTCACTCTGTAGACCAGACTGGCCTTAAACTTACAAAACTCATAGAGATCCACCTGCCTCTGCCTCCCAAGTGCTGGGATTAAAGGCGTGCACAACTACCACCTAGCCTTGGTTCTGATTTTCTTGGCTAAAGTTACTTGTAGGACAGCAGGTCCCATGTGATGTATATGTATATACATACCTATGTATATAGAATATACAGTGTGTATATGTTTTAATTTATGCATATACATATATGAAGATTATGTATGTTACATAAGTGGATGATGACATTTTCTTTTCCATTAAGGTTTAGAGGTTACACAATAAATGGAGCTATGTCATTTTTATACAACCTGAGTGGTTCAGGTTTTTCCTCTATTTTAGTTAGGAGGGAGAAAATCCATCTACACAATGAAAACTGTATCAAATCACTTAGCTAATGTCTATTCAGTTGGCTTGCTGTTGAGATACTGATTCACTGGGTGCTAATATGCCATAACCCCCCACCCCTTCGACTGAAAAGCCAAAGAACAGAGCTTTGCAGTAAAGAATGGTTAAATTAAAAAAAAAAAGTGGGGGTATAAATGAGGAAGTCAGAATACCCAGGCTCTATTCCTTTTCTGGAGAAAGAACACGTAGAGTGAGACTAGGGGGAGGTACACACATCTTCTCTACTCAGGCAAATTGCATTTCTTCTTTCCTTCACCTTGCTGACATAAATTACAGCCTTATGAATATTCTCTAGGGCAGAATTTTCTGACCAGTTCCCTGCCCTACAAACTTCAAAGTGAACTTCTACCTAAACTTTCGGGGCCCTTGTTAGATTTTAACGTGCACCTCAGTCATCAGTAATGCCTGGAGGGAAATAAAACCTTCATGTGGATACAACCCCCATGGAGTCACACTACTTTATGAATCCTGCCCCAGTGGTCTGGGTGGGGCCTGAGGTCCTGAATTCCTAATGAACTCCCAGGTGAAACCCAGACTCCATGTGCCAGAGGACCACAGTTTCAGCAGCAAGATTCCTTTGGCTGTTCTTTCAGTGCGAACTAACAGAAGCTGAATTGAGTGTAGCCCCTTCGATCAAAAACTGCATGTAGATGGAAGGAAACAGAACGCGAAGCTGTGTTGCATGGCATCTGAAACAGTGCCCTGTGTATTTTTTTCAAAGACATTCTTTTCCCCTGCAAGATGACTGGCAATCTTGTGTTCTAGCCACTCTGAGACATGAAAACACTTGGTTGCTTATCTTGTAAAATCTGCTCTGCTTGCTTGCTTGGGCATGCTGCAGTCAGTTTAGTCAAATACGTGTCAGTACATCTATATGTATGGGGGAGCAGGTGCAAGCCCTTAAAAATGTACTTTAAAAAACTTTTAACACTTAAGACAGTGCACAGAGCTGATCCTGTGTGATCTTAGTGCCAAGCATCCGAGTTAAAGGTTTCCCTTTGAAGGCAGCGGGTAGATGTCATGCAGTTGAAGCATTTGTTTATACAAAATGATGCTTCATTTTTTTTTTCTGTGAGTTATATGACAGTACACTAGTGGTATAACTTCACTGAGCCTAAAGGGAAGCGTAAGACTCCAAAGCAGGTATTTGAGGTTTGATCTAATGGAAGCTGGAATTTTCTAGGCTACACTTGGCTTGGAATAAAGTGCTTATGTGAATGGGCATCAGCTAGAAAAACAAAACAAAACAAAAAAGGAATGGGTTTCCCTCTGCAAAGAGGGTCCACCTGGAAATAACTTCCTATCTTTGCTTGGCGTCTGCACCTCTTGTTAGCAGAATGCCATTGGGGGACTGAGGGGAGTTTGGGAATCACCTTCCCAGCTCTCAGAAGACATTTATTTACAAGCAACTCGGATTTGAGTATTTGCTGAAGAAATGTTGGAATGAAGAGATTCTTAATCTCAACCAGTCTTTAGCTGTGTAAGTCACACGCACGCACGCATGCACGCATGCACACCCATATACCACACAGGCGTTCACATCACTGAGAGAAATTTTAATTCGCTCCTGTCTGGAGTCTGAATGCTGAGAGTAGAGTGGCTATTTTTTGCCCTGATGGGTTTATCATTGTGTTTAGGTCTCTAAACTCGGGATTGAGTCTCTCTGAGGTGCTACACCAGACGCTTACTTCAACAGCACTTAAAAGCTCGTGTTTGCCTGTGTGCTGGGCCCCATGCCAGGACATTGCCGGGAGTCCATTACTGCTGCAGTCCATTCTGATGAGGAGGTCTCCCAGCAAAGCCCCGGTCTGCTCGCAGCTTCCCTCATAAGGCGCAGGAACTCATCTGGACCGAATTTACCCTGGAACTGCTTGGCCACAACACTATGAGAGAATAATTATTGAACTATTTTACTGTACAACTATTTCCAAATTGTTGATTTTTTATTGATTTCAGGAGGCAAGCTAATTGCCCCATGGCAACTTGATGTTAACATTTAATGAAGATCAGGAAACAGAGTTTATGAAAAGCGTTTGTATAGTGACTGCAAAGCTTCAAGAACTGTTTTACACTTCCTGACGGGGCTGGGCCTCGCTTAATGGTTTGTTTTTATTGCTTAAGAGTGTAAACCTTGCTTTAGTCCAGTGTGTGGAAACTATACCCTCATTCCAAATTGCACATTTTCTTGTTGCTTTTGCCTTGCTCCCCACGTCCTCTCCTGCCTTATATAATCAAGACTTTCTCTGCTTTGTATGCAGGCAAGTTTCTATCTTAGGCATCGATGATACTCCACATGCACACGTGTGCACACAGCCTCATGAACCGAATATGTTGCTTCACTGTGTTTGGGTGGAGTTTCTGTTCTGCACCTGGTTGCTAGACAACCAAGCAGACAAAATTTAGCGATTCAAAAGGCATTTTTGAAGACGCCAAATTTGGGCGGCTGAATTCTTTGACCTCCATTTTTATGTGGAAGGTGCAGGTTTTTTAAGAAGATCCCCTTGCCTTTTGTTGGATAGATGGCTGATTGCTAGAAGAGCAGTGTGTGTGTGTGTGTGTGTGTGTGTGTGTGTAGGCAATTTTTAGGTGTTTTCAGGTGCACATGCACATATGTACACACCCATGTCAAGGCCAGAGGATAACATCCAGTGTTATCTCTCAATAGCTCTGGGCTTTGGTTTTTGAGAAAAGACCTCTCACTGAACCTGGTTCGCATCAGTTTAGCTAGGCTGTCTGCCATCGAGCCCCAGGGATCCTCTTGCCTCCACCCCTGCACACCCCAGGCATTGGGGCTACAGACACATGGCCCTAAGGTGGGTGCTGAAGATCCGAAGGAACGCAGTTGCATATGCTTGTGCAGGAAGCTCTTTATTGACCGAGCCATCTCCCTAACCCAGAAGAGTTTTTTGAAATCTGGCCCTACAGCATTGTCTGTCCGAGAGCCTTCCTAACTGTTGTTCCCATTTGCTGGAACTCGCTTCCCACCTGGAAGCTTACTTGGTTTCCAAGGGTGTGTTTTAAATCCCTAATAAAGTTGAGCTACAGCTCCAAGCTCCGATTGTTTCAAAGTAAAGCAAAGATTCCTTGCCAGGGCAATGTTCAGAAGCACAGGGCCTGGGTGTGGAGTGCACTGTCTCCGGGAAGTGACCCTAGGTTTTCTGCTGGGAGATAGTATTGAGAATATTTTCTAAAACCTTTGTGAAA